CAGTTCATCGTCAATATTTTCCACGCTAGCGTAGAAAAAACGCTTTTTGCTCGCAGATTTCTAATGAGAAAGAAAGCCTTTCCGAGCTAGTGAGGTGAAAAAATTTATTCGTACCCGAAGTCATCCCCAAACTATACGACATCTACACTTAAACTTTGCCTAAACTGTGCCTACTTATTTTCTTTCCAAATTTAAAATAGTTTCGAATGTGACTATGGCTGACCGACTGACACGTTTGCCAATTTTTGTGTCTTCATATGGTCTTCATTGACAAAAGTGATTCGAATTTTAAATTTCTTTATGGAACGATCATAGAGTTAGATGTTACAAATACTTAAATATGAAAATGATTCCTCAGATATTGCCCCTGTGGCGAACCGCAGCAATCGCTACAAGTCTTATTATATTTCAAATAGTATTTAAGGACATCAGAGTCTGTGTTCTATAAACTGCAACACATTGACGGATCTTGTTCTATTACACTGGAGGCGATATTCGCTGTTGTTCCTCAGTACTTGTTAGTACCAGAACCCATTTTTATCACCGCTATAACCACTTTTATAATTGGCGCAATTTAAAATTATGACTAGAAAGTTAATCACATTGTTTGATTCAAAATTTCCCGTCTATGTTATCCGTCTTCAATTTCAAAGTTACATCAAATTCTATTGTAAGATAAGCCACGTGCTTCTAAAGATATTAAAATCTAAAACTATACACTGTCTCACTCTGGATTCATTTTAATTAAACCTATCGTTAAAAGTAACAAGTTTCACTTAACTCTTAAAGCTAAACCAAACTTGCCACTTTAAACCATATAAAACGTATGTACGTTGAAAACTAAATTGTCTCTTTTCCGGATCTTAGAGCGATTACACGCGCGCAATGCAAGCGCGTGACTGCATCGATACAAACGCGCGATTGCATCGCTTCACTTGGGATTTATAAGCGATTGCGTCGATGTAATTGCGCGTTTGTATCGATGCAGTCGCCACTGCAACCATAAATACTGCTATATATAAATATAACTATAAATCTCAAGTGTAAAGATGCAATCGCGCTATTTCACGCATGCGCGTTTGCATCACTGGTACAAGTTACCGTGTGTAACCACTCTTAACGGAATCAATCCCAGACCTCATGATTTAATCGATCACAACGTGATTAAATTCTTTATTTAAAAGTTGTTGTTCCAATCTCAAAATATCTGAACAATTTTAAATAATGAATACAATAACGTTATAATTGACTAAATCATGAAGTGTGTTAGATTACATTAAAATCCACTTGATTGAGTCAGTCAGTTTTTTAATTGTACAGATGGCAGCACGTCAAGCTACACAATGACGGATCTTGTTCTGTTGCACTGGAGGCGATATTTGAACAAAGATGTATTGATATGCTGTTGACTATACCTTCAGAACCACACTAGTAGCTCATCGATTTCTAGAAATGATTAAAAATGTGCCATTTTTTTAAAGCCTTAGTGTTAGTTGTAAGAACGCCAATGTGTGATAAGCTTTTCAATAAAAAATACCTTATACAATAAAGTGTCGAATCAGCAGAAGATAAGAGAATCACGTTTGGTTTTATGAAAATAATAACATTTTAGCACCACATACGATAGGAAGGAGAAAGGATTTTACGATAGACATTATAGTAAAGATTGTGCGTGAATATAATAAATAATATGTCATAATGAAAAAAGACGAAGAATTTGAGTGATAAAGTGAAGTATAGGCATGGCAAATGGCAAATAAATTGGGCGTAATAAAATAAGAGTATGTTAAGAATTTTTCCAAGGCCTTCCGTCTTAAATAAATTATTACTCGACCTTATTTATTGGCTTTTAGAGACCCTATTTACCAACGGGGCACTCTAACCCCATAACAACAACTATAACCCTTTCAGACGACAGTTCGTGAAGGCCCTATGTATATAGGATACTTTAGGGCCGCAATAGAAATCCCAATTATGTTCATCCCCGCGTTAAATTAATAAACGTTCTATGTAGAACAAGATCATGTGAAAAGCAGCACATATTCCCTTTAGAGTGTTGTTCACAAATGTTATAACCAATTTTCAGCGATCCAGGCAGTTTAAAGCGTACTATAGAGATCTTGGATTAACGCTTGATTGAAATTGCAGTAAATATACAAATATACATAGATATAGATAGATGGTACGTTTATTCTCTTACCTCGAGCGTATACGATATAAAATAATACAAAAAGAAACAAAACAAACCACTTAAGTAATAAAAAACAACGGCAGGTGTCTGCTGTAGGGGTGCACGATTTCTTGCTTTGAATCGATTTTTCGGATCGTAGTGGATCATATCAATCCACATTCGGATTGTATGCTCTTGAATAGATCTCAACCACGTCTCAAAATTAATTTCGATAATATAAATAATAATTTTGGCAGCCCTTGTGGCTTTAGTCGGTTACGGTAGCGACATTTACCAAATATTGTAGACTTATTGCACTTAAATGTTGCCAAACTGCTTTACTTGCAGACCAATACATAATAGGGGTTCGGAAAGAGACTATTTTGTTTAAACTATGAATACGATCTAGACGATTTGATTCGCCTAAATGTTGAATCGATTTACTTGAAAATCGCATTGATATGAATCGATACAAAAAACCGCTAGATCGTATAAACTTGAATCGATCTTTATAAACATCAAATCGTAATGTACATCCCTAGTTTGCTGCTGTAAGTCGAACAGGGCATTATAGTTCAGTGCGGGTTTTGCGCAAAAGCAAAGCACTGATTTTCAGCTATCATCTTCAGGGATAGCACGTTGCACAACACATGCATATAAAACAGCAAAAGAAGAACAAATAAACTATATTATGACATCTTGCATTATTTAAGTACGGGGTAAATGGTTGGGAATTGAAATTGCAAAGCAAAATTGGCAGCATGCATTTTGTATGCGTAGTATCAGACGTTGGAGTTTTACTCAACAAACGAGGACCATAGACAATATCACCGTAATGAAACCTGGAAAGGAGCAATTAATTGTAGACAGTATATAATTATGTTTATACACATGTATGTACTCCTAATAGGACGGTCGTACAAAATATTTAAATAATAGTGGCAAATTTTTCATACGTTTTCTATAATATTACCCTTCATTAAAAAGATTTTATTACTGAATGAAACTTTTCCAAATTCCCATAGATTATTGAGCAAGATATCGCCATTCTCATCCAATCAGAGGCCAGATGATATGTAAGTGGGCCATCTACCGCTTTGGATACGCTTAGCTACAGTAGCGAGCACGATCCGATGCCGACGATAGACTTTGGAGCTGTCAAAGTGACGTATGAAATTTCTATCGTGAATATGAAATATAAAAAAGGTGATGGCCTTTCTTGATTTGCGAGATGAGGGGAGAGATGCTCGTAGCCAATCATAAGCATGTAAGATCTCGAACTCAACAAACAACGTAGCTGTCATTGGTCCACCGGCCATATCGTCGTACGTACATACTAAAATTAATAACACTTTTAAAAATCATTCAGCAATTTTAAACGTCACTTAAAGACAGTTCCAACATGACGCATACCAAGAAAGACTATTGGTGCCCTCGCCTATCACAAAGATGTATGTGCATAATGCATAGTTTCATGTATAGTACACGACCCTGCACAGCTCGACGATAGTCACTTGTTACCGCTGAAAGTACACCTCATGTGCCTTTAAACGATAGTAATGCTGATTTTATATTATGCATGTTATTCTTTTGTGAAGTCTACAACAAAGGGTTTTGACGCAGCTTTGGTGACTTTCGAGCGAAAGTCAAATGCTATAGAAATCTTTAGATCTTCAATATTGTATGCTCTTAATGCATCTCATTCGCTGTTTCTCTATTAGATTAGTGTATCATTTTGCTACTGTCCTGAAGTAGTGGAATGCTCCAAACCTACTTCCTTTGATTTGAAAGTTCGCTGTAAATACGAAGCCTTAACTTGGCAATTTCATGAAGCGACGCTAATTTCCTGTCCCAAAATCAACTCGAAAAGGACTGGAATTTAGAAACAAATGTTTGATAGTCACCAAAGCGCTCGAAACCAACGGGGCTTCGACACCACGCACAACACAACCGGTGTATAACACGATACATCCTTTATAGGCGAGCGATCATTGCATCGAGCTCGTCTGGCTCTCACAAGTCCTACCTGGACTCAGAGAGGCCCGGGTCAGACCCAGACAAACGGGGGCATAAGTGGCGCCACGTGCAAGCTGTCATGGCATACTACCAGGCTCTCAGGAAAATTAAAAGGTTCGCTAGGACAACATTAAAGCCACGTTGTCTATGTATGGTTGATTGTTTTTATCTATGATTTCCCACTAACTGTGTTATCTTCGTCTGTGTTAGGACTTCGATTTGAGTCACTAAATATTGTGTGTACCTTTTATTCCTTGTGGATATTTGTGCCTCTCCTAGATTCACTGAAAATTCTTTCTGACTGTCACTTGGGAGATATAACAGTGTTCAATGTTTATTTCTTGCATTTTGGATTTGAAACTTTCAATAGATGATAATAGTTTTTGACATCTTGAACTCTATTAGATGCAGTGTTAGATATAGTTTTAGCCATGTATTTTATAGCGAACTCTAAAATCTCACTCTACAAATAATACTTTTTTGGCATTGACTTTTTGTTTTAGTGCAGATGCAGCATGAAGATCAAGGTAGATTTTGTTTGCACGTGTAAAAAAAAATCTGTATAAAAATGTGCTAAGCACAAATAGAAAGCGTACCTACTTACATAGAAATACTAATGCCGTAGATTGTATCTTTATAAAATCAACTTTTCTTTTCAAAATTGAATTCTCAAGTAAACTAAATTCTTCTAAACTTAGAAACAATTTTGAAATCGTTTTAGAAAATTTCCCATGTGAATCAGCATGTTCTTGCTTTCGTTTATATATTTCCATTAAATTAAGACTAACTTATGTGGGTGGCATGCAGAACGAAATCGAACCAAAGATGGATGAAGCTGCGGACGACAGTACAACTCAGCTCTGCTATGCAGAAGAAACCGCCATTAAAGAGAGAAGACTCCTTCTTGAAACGGTTTTCTACACGACAAATACCGGAAACACAGGAAACTGTAAGTAAAATCTTTACTGTTAGCTGATATATACAATGTTTGACGAAATCATCCAACCGGACTTCAGTTGATCACAAACAATTTTACCAACAAAATTATTTAAATTTGCGGTCCATCTTACTAATGACTGTTCTGTATACGGTACTGTTATGTAATAATGTTCTGTATACGGCCGCATTAATTTTGAATATTTAAATTCAAATAGTCTATTTGGGATAATTTTTTTATAGTAGTTAGTAAAACTTAAAACTAAATACAAAACTAAATTAGCAATATTAAGTCTATTGAATATCACGATGCCTTACTACCATGATATTCAATTATTTTTTGAAGTGACTCCATTACTTTGTTATAATTATTAATACAAACATCTTCTGATGCTGAATGAAATAAAAGCTTTTTCCTACCTGCCTGACTACAAGCGATTGAATTACAACCCTATTCCAAACACTAAAATGAGTACCATAAAAATCTTCCGAATTTTTTAAGGTTCTTCGAAAACACGTAAAGTTACACAGACAAGAGTCTCATACTCCTCAGAATGTTGTTGGATACTATCGAAATTTAAGCAAAATCGTACTACAGGAAATTTTATTCCTCAAAGCTAGTCCAAAACGGGTTTAAAAATTTGGATTTTTGTAAAAGTTCTACGATGTAAATAGATACCGGGGACAAACCCTCCGCCTTCATTTGATCCTATCCACCATCTTAGTTATACGGGCCCAAGATTCTTGAGAGACGCAAACTACGTTGAGTCGAATATTCTTTCAACTCAGCACACACTACCTTTACTCCTTCCGATATATTAAACTAACCAAAGAGTTTAAAGAAACTGTTTATGTCTCTTCACAGGTAGAAGATACAGGTTCAGAAGGTGCAACAGGAGACAACAGATCAACAAACAGGCAAAGACGACGCAAAGTGCGAGCGCCCCGTACTGTGGTCAACCCCGATGAGAACTTTTACTTCTATTGGCTGTGGCTGATCACCCTCTGCATCTTGTATAATCTGTGGACACTGATAGTGAGACAAAGTTTTCCTGAGCTGCAGGTGAGATTTTACCACTGCATTTTCAATTTTATAATACGTATAATACTAATTTGCAGACCCAAACATCTATCAACAAAATAATATTCTAAGAAATCCAAAAAATATATATTGAACTATGATCATAAATTATTCCAACGACAACTGTAATAAAACGTTTGTATATAAGCCAGTGCTAAATTCAAGAACAATAGCCATATACGAATCTTCATCCATAATGAATTAGCTTGATCACACAACTTTCTAATTAAAGGGAAAAATTTTCTTCTCAAGCACTGAAATTGTTCGGTTTTGTTTGATAGGAACTCGCCAGGTCTCGCCTCAAAGACGACTACATAAATAAACAACTTCAAGTGCTAGTAGCATCACACATGATCGAAATCGGGAGACCTTGGGCTAACTATTAATTAATACTAAGATCGAACACAAGGAAAAATTCCTTCGTGATCCATTCGGAAATATTTTACAATCAACTATTACTTCTTGTATCCCGGCTCTTATGATATCTGTCTTTCGGTACGTACCTCGTTCTACGCTATTCATAACACTATGCCCGACATCACTTATTACTAAAAGCCACACATTCCAACCTTTTCCATGACAGTTTGGATCGCAGCAGCCCCCTGGGACAACCATCCAATCCTGTTAAAGGGGCCTCTCGCTTATGTGATCATTTGGGCCCACACGTGTTTATGGATTACAGTCATTTTATTGTCTTTTGAAACGTGCCAAGAGAGACATGTAGGGATGGTATTATTTGAACAATGTCTACCTAATATGTTTGCGATAAGGTCAACAACCTAACCATAATCTTATTATACTCGTACACGCCTGTAAATAGAAAGTCAAGTCAAAGTCAAACAACTTTTATTTAACAGATAAGCAAATTACACTTGACATCTTCATATGAATTAAACTCTACTGCCATTCGTAAGGCAGATTCCCCCGAGAAGAATGAGCAAGAAACTCTAGGGGTTGTTCTTTGTAAATTAACATTTGTACATGTTTATCATTTACAATGTTTATTTCAAACATCATAGATCGAGACTACTTGTAAGACCTTAACGGATTTTTTTCATTTTCAGAAGCTGTATAATAAATAGCCTTTAGTATAATGGTTTTGTTACAATTTTAAACCTCGTCAATGGCAAATTTTGAATAGAAGACATAGAAGCGTATGCATTGCCCCTTAGCTTAAATGATTTTGTTATTTGTGAAGCAATGTCAAAAACAAGTAGTTTATTTTTATTCCCCACATTATTTTATTGTTACGTCTGTCGCTATTCCTCTTAAAATAAATCACATTTCGATAAATGTACTGTGACGCTAATGTAAGAATGACAATTTCTTTAAACTTATCTCTCAAAGACACTCTGGGGAATAAATTATAAATTGCCCCAACCGCAAGTGGATAAAAAAAGCAACCTTAAGTAATAAAGGTAGGACACATAAAAACCGCTTTACATTTACATGATTACAATTATCAGTCTGATATTCTTGAAACAAATTAGAAACATAGACTTGATAAGTTCCTGGCATATTAGTTTCGGAGTACAAGCAAGTTACACGGAATTGAGGAACTTATTATACTTGCTTAAAGAACATCCAACCGTTTAACCATAGTTTATAGAAGCCAAATAATTCGACTCGAATTTTTATAAGCGTGAAGAAGGAAAGCAAATATGAATCATCGTTTCAAGCATCAATATACGTTAAATTATTCTCGTCACAAACATAACAATCTGTCATCCGGTACACCTGTTATTCAAATTCATAGAAAGTTTATTTCGCGTTGGCAAATATTTTTCCATTGTTTGTTAAAGGGCTGAGGAAGATAGACTTAAAACTTTGTTTGCTTTCAACAAAATTATTAGGCTGGAAAGGTATTCAACGCGATACTTGCACTCTGAATGCACGAGCGCTGAAATGGGAACCAGGGCATACCCTTGGAGTTATTTTATAGTGCAATTCAATCCCGAATCCAATCCTTCATTATTCATTTATTTGTGAAAGCACAGGTTGTATAGAAGTTGATATACAACAAAATAAGCATAGTTTCACTACGTCTGAGCAAACATGAGGTACTCGTATATTAAACATTAAGGTATTTTTTTACACATGGATTTAATAAGTCAGTCTGTAATTACACGCGGTGATAGTTATTTAGGTCAATTTTAATGATAAAAATTAAAAAATGTAACTAGATATCAAAATAATCTGAATAACGTTAAAATAAATAAACGATTGTCAACAATTATACAACAAAGTTAGGGATTTGTTATTTAAAGATTCGGACGGAAGTACTTTCGGTATTATTGTAAATTTCTGGCGCCATTACAAAAATACTATGAAGGTTTACAAGCTTTCAAACGACGTTGGTCATGACGTCTTGGCTTTAGGGTCCGTGTGAACAAGTGTGGGCGCATTCGGACGTTTACGGCAGTTTCGTAGATGTAAGAAGATGTGGTTTGCAGCTACCTGTGCTTCTCAATGAACAAACTGCTCTGACACAATGTTTTGTGCCTTGCCTTTATTACATGTCGCAGCTTTTCGAGTTACTTTGGTTAGTTTGCTTTTCGAAATAGTGATCCAACACAAAATACTCCTTTTCTGACTTTTTACTAAAATTTTAAAAGACATTTTATTATGAACGGGACACCGAGCGTTTCGTTGGTTAAAATAATCACATAATAACATTGGTATGGTCTACGATTTGACAATTTTGCACGTTTCTGATTTTTTAAAACCCTCTTCCTTATAAATTAAACGCTTTTGAGATAGACCACTATTCTAGAAAGCCTTCGATTGTAATCAAATAACACCTTTGAAATCATATTACACACTTTTACTCATTGGAAAAACAAATTCCCACAAGAAGACCGAATACGTAACTCTAGGGATTTCATAGGGAGATAAAACGTTTATTGTCTTGCATCACACACACAACAATATAATACATTAATAAAATGTAAATTAATAAAATTGATTGAAAGAGAAACACAGAAATCAAAATTAAAGAAAATAAAAAAACAAACAACAAGAAATTCAATTTAAAAACAAAACTAAAACACTGAGGTGTGTGCTGCAGCAAGCTACATTGGTCGTGGCTCAGTGGAAATTTGCCCAAAAGCGAAGCACTAATTTTCAGTACTTTCGAGAGTAGCGCGTTGTGGTACATCAAAATCAAAAACATTGTGAAGTCAATATAGTGTCCATATGTGTTAGTATCGACGTGAGTGTTGTGTAGATTTAGAAATGTACATTTTTTCTCATTTATATTTTTCTTCTTCTTATCGTATCGATGATATAAGGTACTCGCCGATTATCACCCAGGTTGCGCCAGACGTACTGGAAAGGTGTTCGTCGTGGGAGGAGGCTCCTTTCCTTTTACCTTTATATTTTATATTACAATATTTATATCAAATATCATAGATAGGGCTTTCCAAGTTATTTGTACCCTAGCATGGGATATCAAAATCCTTGCGTTTGAGTTTTTCAACATTATTAATTTTCTCTGCTCCAGTTGAAAGTTTTGCGGAAATCGGTAAACGTTAACGAAATTTGAAAATCTGGATAGCGAGTCTCAAATCCAAATTAATCGAAAAGTGGAACAAGATCTGATTCAATTTCCTGTCCTGCCGAGTTGATCATTTCAGTTAATAATACTAAAATATCGCTTTGATAATAGAGCATTTTGCAGAGTGGTATGTATACTTACTTCGCTGGCTCAGCGACCCGTAATGAATCTTGGCCTCCAACACCAAAGTACGCCAATACTGTAGGTCTTGTACCAATTCCGATCACTTGGGCACATAACGAGAAAATTGTTTTGTCTCGAAATCATTATCTATCTATCTATCCGACCGAGTTCGGTCATAGCGACTACTTCGATTCCTAGTTGGATTGGCGGTGATGCGCTCAACTAATGTATGGCTACATATGGCGCATCATCTTCGCGGCGAACCGTCGTGCACATTGAGGACACGTGAGTACACCGCCAACGTAATTACAGTTAATGGCGAAGAGTGGGCGGGCCTTTATCTCGTCACGTTAGCATCGAGTTCAGCTTTACACTGCTCTTCATACTCATAAACTTGCGTCTCCACAATCCCCCGCCATTCCAGGCGCAGTGTTGCCAAATTTTCCCATTCATCTCACATGTCGGTTCTGAACATCTTTATACCTGTGGCGTTGACGAAATAATTAAATTAAACAATTAATAAATTAATCTTACAAATGAGTAAGTCATCATTCGTAAGGTAGATTCCCCCAATATGAACAACTTAGAAATAAAAAACTTGATTACTACTACGGATTTTTGTCACGCAAAAGTTGTATAATAATAACCTTTATTATAAAAGTTTTGGTTTCACCGTCGTAAATGGCAAATTTTTAATATGATAACCTTATTATAGAAGCGTATACTTTGCCCCTTAAAAGAACTTGTGGCTTTGTGAAGTCGCCAAAACAGCCAGTTTATTTATTTCTCGTATTAATGTTAAATACAATTTTCATTAAAAACTATTCTTCTTGACTTATTTATGTTTCATAAATGCGTGAGACACCATTATAAGAATGTTAGTTATATTTTTTCCAGAAAAATAGATCTTAAGTAAAAGTTATTGCGTGTCACTTATGATTCAAAACCAATGGTGCACGACACAGACCCAGTAACGAAGTCTAGTCACACTTGATCGGTTTTTATTTTTCAACGGAACTACTCACATGAAAAGTGTCTAGGAATCAAAGTACTTTTTTAATTATTGATTACCCCATTAAAATGCAATAAAAATATGTATATAAATTTATTAAATTATGAAATTGATCAAAAAGCAAAAGGTCTAAAAAACAATTAAGTAATTAAAAAATCTGATTTTCAATCATTCAATCATTGGTAGTCCCTAAACACTTTTTATGAGTGTATTTTCCAATTCAAATACGTTGATTGCAAGCTGAATATCAGGTGTTCCTCAAGGGGCATTCTTAGGTCCCTCCTCTTTTCT